GGAATTCTGACCAATCCCCAAGTAGGAGGCTTGCCCAGCATAAGGCCTGAAGGTCACCACCAACCCGTCAAGCTCACAGGAGAGGCCTGAGTGAGTACTCCTACACCCTCTGGGTCAGAAAGGAGAGAGGTCAGTTAGGTGGAGAATCCAACTAACTTCTTTTCTGGTGCTGCTGTGCTAAATTGGCAGTTTCTGGGCCCGCTTTCCCAGGGATTCCCTCAGGTGGGTGGGTGAAGATAAGGATTCATCTGGGCTCTGGAGTGGTACACCAGGAAGACTAGAGAGCTCTCTAAGAAGAGACTGTTTGTCTATGGACTTACATAGTTGCTAAGAGGTTTGTCCTCATGTTCTTAGTTCATTGGGCATCCCATACACCCCTTAACCCTATCCAAGTTCAATACCCCTTAATAAAGCTACAAAAACAAGATCAAGGACTGTCTACTCTCCCCAGTGTTCAAGTGTGTGAAGAAAATGCATGTTGCCTGGCTGTGCAGGACTATAGGGGGACTCAAAAACTCAGTGACTCCTAAGGGAGTAGTGCTATATGTGATTCACTTTGTTTATGTAATGGATTGTGCTGATATTATGACTTATTATCCCCATGAGTCTCTTGTAAGCTGGATATTTTCCTTTTCTTCAATAAAATATTTTTGGAAGAAAACAATACTTCCCAAGTATGTTCTGTGCTTTCTCAGTGAAGCTAGTGGGGTTGATTTATTAAAGCCCAATAGATTGTTCATTTTCAAGGGAATTTTCATTTTGCAAGGTACTGTTCCTTAAGCTTAGCAAATGTGGTGAATATTTACTTCTGCAAGGAAAACCCATTTGTATGCAGGGAAAAACATTTTAAAAAATGTATTTTTGCTTGCACATGATATAATGATTAGATGATTGAACTGAACAGAGCTTCACCTCATTCATTGAACTAAGGAAAATCCCTTGCAAAGTGCCTATTGCTTTTAGTACTTTGGTAAATCAACCCCAGTTTGTCCCAGTACTTCTGCCACCTCAGGATATAACTGGTAATGCAATCTCCATTTACATAGACCTAGTGGAACCCTTTAAAATACTTCCAACTTTTTAACACCAAGTATTATACGTTCGATAGGTATATGTGCCAATGGGTAAGTACAGCAATCTTAATTGTTACCTACGTCCAACATTTATACATAAGAAAATTATGCTTTGAGGTACCAACATAGATATTACAACATATAGTAGGTTAAAACCAATATTTTATTACATAATACTGTAAAAATATACTCATTCTCTTGTAAGAAATTTACTCCCTCAATTACTCCCCAAGAAGTGGGTAAACTGTGACTCATGTTGAGAAGAGAGAGAGAGAATTTTGGATATTATAGCTCAGCTGTGAGGGCGTTATATATGATGATTTTTGCTGAATAATGTTTTTAGTAATTTTTGATTATATTATGTAATACAAATATTGGTTTTAACCTACTCTATGTTGTAATGTCTATGTTGGTACCATAAAAGTCCATCTGCCTCAACGCAAAACTTTCCTATGTACACAATGAAGGTCTTATTTTGATAATATCTTGCCACCATTGGTATTATAGGCAGACAGAGACATCTTTTAGAACTACCTCCAGAGAATGTGTTTCCAAGAAGAGAATAAGCTTTAACTATAGAAAGTATTGTAGCACTCACCCTCGAAGGAGCCACTGGAATTAACAGGTATTTTTGTCCTTACTTCAGTGATTAACCATATATATATATTGTATCCACAGCACACCAGTACACCTTGTGGGAAGTTTTAATACAGGTTTAATAAGACAGGTAAAATTCTGCAAATAGACTGCAAATTAATTTGGAAAATAGCAGTTAAATGCACTGCATACACAAACCTTCTAGAATTGGCACAATAACATCAATAAACACAATATTAATGTACAGTGAAAGAAATAAGTATTTGATCCCCTGCTGATTTTGAATGTTTGCCCACTCACAAAGAAATGATCAGTCTAAAAATCGAATGGTAGGTGTATTGTAACACTGAGAGACAGAATAGCAACTAAAATTCAAAAGAAATGCATGTCTTACAAATTATGCACTGATTTGCATGTTCATGAGGGAAATATGTATTTGATCCCCTATCATTCTGCAGGATTTTTGGCTACCAGGTGTCTTTCATACAGGTAAAAAGCTGAGATTAGAAGCAGTTTCTTAAAGGGAGTGCTGCTAATCTCATTTTGTTACCTGTATAAAAGACACCTGTCCAAGGACAATCAGATTCCAAACTCTCCACCATGACAAAGACCAAAGAGCTGTCCAAGGACAACAGGGACAAGATTGTAGACCTACACAAGGCTGGACTGGGCTGCCAAACTATTGCCAAGCAGCTTGGTGAGAAGGTCCCAGAACTACATGTGAGGAAAACAATTGGTAACACACTACGCTGACAAGGATTGAAATCCTGCAGTGCCCGCAAAGTCCCTCTGCTCAAGAAAGCAGATGCCCAGGCCTGTCTGAAGTTTGCCACTGAACATCTGAATGATGCAGAGGAGAACTGGTTGAAAGTGTTGTGGTCAGATGAGACCAAAATTGAGCTCTTTGGCATCAATTTAACTCGCCGTGTTTGGAGGAGGAGGAATGCTGCCTATGACCACAAGAACACCATCCCAACTGTCAAACGGTGGTGGTGGAAACATTCCGCTTTGGGGGTGTTTTTCTGCTGAGGGAACAGGACAACTGCTGCACATCAAAGGGACGATGGATGGGGCAATGTACCGTCAAATCTTGGGTGAGAACCTTCTCCCTTAGCCAGGGCATTGAAAATGGGTCGTGGATGGGGGTTCCAGCATGACAATGACCCTAAACACATGGCCAAGGCAACAAAGGAGTGGCTCAAGAAGAAGAACATTAAGGTCCTGGAGTGGCCTAGCCAGTCTCCAAACCTTAATACGATTGAAAATCTGTGGAGGGAGCTGAAAGTTTGAGTTGCTAAACATCAGCCACCAAACTTTAATGACTTGGAGAGGATCTGCCAAGAGGAGTGGGCCAAAATCCCTCCTGAGATGTGTGCAAACCTGGTGGCCAACTACAGGAAATGTCTGACCTCTGTGATTGCCAGCAAGGGATTTGCCACTAAGTACTAAGTCATGTTTTGTGAAGGGGATCAAATACTTATTTCCCTCATGAACATGCAAATCAGTGCATAATTTTTAGACATGTATTTCTTTTGAATTTTTTGTTGCTATTCTGTCTCTCAGTGTTACAATACACCTACCATTTGATTTTTAGACTGATCATTTCTTTGTGAGTGGGCAAACATTAAAAATCAGCAGGGGATCAAATACTTATTACCTTCACTGCATATACGTATATACCAGTATACCTATAGATCAGTACTAGCCCCCTGCAACTACAGCAGCAATATGTCCCCATCTAAACTGACATCTCTTTAGGCTCAGTCCCAAATTCACTTGTATGCTGTAGGATTGTAACACTGTGTGAGTCTATGTGTTGCACAGGCCTGTGTTAGTGAATCGGTGGAGCACTCTTAAGGACTGACATGTCACTTGTTTAGTGTCTCCTGTTGTCCATTGTCGGTGCTGCACAATCTCTGAGGTGCCTAACCTGGGATGGTCACACACCTCCTCTGTGATTTCCAACACTCTGACTTCTCCCTCTGTGGTGGGAGATGTCGTTGCTGTTGGTAGCTGCCGTTGATGGTAACTGGTACCAATGATCACAGTTGCCGCTGACTTCAGCTGCTGTAGATAACTGCTTCTGATCTGGAAACAGTGTCAGTGTAATTAAACAGTAGGGGCTGCAGACTAGCTCCCACATGTCCTCTCCCCAGGCACACGTGGCTCCCCAACCCTCCTCCTTGCAAAGCATCCTGGTCCTGTAGTCCTGTGCAGAATAAAGTTACATTGTCTGCCTCTGTGATGAAACTGAAACTCCCACAAACGCTCCAGCACTGCTGAGAGCTGAGCCAATCAAACCCTTTCTAGCAACATATAGTCTTAAAAGGGAAACAGTTCTTTAAAAGGAAAACAGCAATGGCTCCGCTACAGTATCAATGCCAGCAGAGCCTACAGAAACGAATATGCACCTTTTAATAGTAGTGACTGTAATCAGAAAGAAGGGGACACTACATACAGTATAATGAAATGCTGTAAAATGCTGCCTGATGAAATTTCTGAATGTTTCTGTAAACATTTCTCCATTTACATTGAAGGGCCAGAATTATGCACAACCAAATGCAGCTCAACTGATGTTGGATCAATATTGGATGTTGCTGTCTTGGCTTTCAAAATTACATGAATACCTTTGGCATAATTGACATACACAGTTTCTTAATGTGAATTAATGTTAATTCAGCAGATCTGGCTGCCAACACTAAACAGAGTAAACAAGCTAATTTATTGTCTAAAGAATGTAATGACGAGGAATCTAACTGAACCTAACTGCTATATACTCAGAGGGCTAGGGAAAAGATCAATGCCCTAAGTCTTTCATAACACAAAGGTTATGACTTCTAAGCTTGATTGTAATGAAACCGAATGTAGGACCATAAGAGCTAAAGCAGAAATACCAGGACAAAGCTTCTGTCAGGAATTCTAATGTACCCCAAAAGCCTTGTTGAGTTTAGAAAATTGCTTCTTTTTTTTTATCAAACCAATCTAAAGTGACTTTAATAGTTCTCTTTCCTGGATGACATTGTTTGTCTCAGCTGATAATGACTAACAGGACAAAAGGATATTCAAGCTGCAATCTACATTAATTGTTAAAGCGTGGATAAAAGCTCCTGAGAGCTCTGAAAGCATTCCACTCTCATACCAAGTAAGAATTTATGACCTATTACTAATTTGAATATTGTGGGACCTAAATTTGAATATATCAAAATTAGGTCACTCACCTGCTCCACTTGAATTTCGTGGAGCATCCAAACCAACTTAGATGGGGGAGAAAAAAAACATAAAGATGAGGCCTGTCAATTAAAAACACTGCATATATTTTCCATATATATTTTAAATCAGGCCTTGAAATTTCCACATGCCTGCTCGCAATGGCGAGTGGAAATTATGGTGGGGGCGAGTGTGTCCCCAGGGCCGTCTTGCTGACAGGCTCGGAACTCAGGGCTGGATCTGTCACTCGCACTGGGAGCCGTCAGACTGCTCAATAGTTGAGCAAAGTGAAAGCAAAGGAAGGAGTGTGTGCTGTGCTCTCTGCCTCCCCCTAGAGTGCCGTACCCGGCTCTGTGAGTGAATGTAACAAAGTACTGCAACTTTTTATAGGGCTGTGTGTGTGTATGTGTGTATTTGTATGTGTGTGTGTGTGTGTGTGTACGTGTGTGTGTGTATTTGTATGTGTGTATGTACATGTATCTGTGTGTGTGTTTGTGTGTGTCTGTGTATGCATGTACATGTGTCTGTGTGTATGTACATGTGTGTATTTGTACATGTGTTTACGTGTATGTGCATGCATGTGTGTGTGTGTGTGTACATGTGTTTGTGTGTGCATCTACATGTGTGTGTGTGTACTGTACATGTGTCTGTGTATGTATGTACATGTGTCTGTGTGTATGTACATGTGTCTGTGCATGTGTATTTCTGTGTATGTACATGCGTCTGTGTGTAGGTACATGTTTGTGTGTCTGTGTATGAATACATGTGTCTGTATGTGTGTGTGTGTGTGTGTGTACATGTGTCTCTGTGCATGTGTGTACATGTTTCTGTGTATGTGTGTGTGTATGTACATGTCTGTGTGTGTGTACAGGTGTCTCTGTTTGTGTGTGTGTATGTACACGTGTCTGTATGTAAACCTGCATGTATGGGTGGTTTGGTCAGGTTCAGGACTATGCAGGATTATGTGGTTATTATGGGTGGCAGATGTAACAGGGTAGGGGTTGGGTGGGGCAACTGGTGGCGAGTAACTCTTAAGGCCTGGCTAGTAGCTCAAGACTTGAAATTTTAAGCCCTGTTTTAAATCATATACTTGATACAAGTTTTGATGTTTGTGCACATACCTCTGATGTAGAAAGGTCTACATATCTGTTTTTCAATAACTTAAACAGTGCTCTGAAATAAGCGTATTTATAGAAAAACTAAAGGCAGTGTCCATTTTTGACACATACAGTATGTCTACCTATTTGTTGGCTTGACTATCTTTCTGGCAAGACAAAATCCCATAACTCTGGAGTCTACTAAGTTAAGGAATTGGATTTCATTAACTCAAGAGACTGAATTGCCAACTACATAGGTATGGTCATGTATAAATATTTAGTTACAAATTTCTGAAGCCTCTACTTTACTTACAGTGGGGAAAATAATTATTTGATCCCCTGAAGATTTTGTAAGTTTGCCCACTTACAAAGAAATGAAAGGTATATAATTTTTATCATAGGTGTATTTTAAATGATAAAGACAGACTATCAACCAGCAATCCAGAAAAAACACGATATAACTGCTATAAATTGAGTTGCAATTCCTTGAGTAAACTAAATATTTTGATCCCCTACCAACCTACAATAATTCTGGCTCCCACAGGCTGGCTATGTGCTCATGTGGTACACAGATTAGTTCTGTCAATTTAAGAAGGTGCTCCCAACAATAACTTGTTATTTGTATAAAAGACACTTGTCCACAGAATCTCATTCTTCTTCACCATCATGGGCAAGACCAAAGAGCTGTCACTCTTAAAGTAAGCACCACTTGAGGAGACAACTGAAGTTTACTCTGAAAGAGCTTCCCAAGTACATATGCATCTGTCAGAACATTAAGGGATCTGTTGCAACCTAGTGTCATAGCATTTTCAATATACTCTTTGCTAGAGTATGATGAAGAGATAGTGTAGATTTTCTCAAATTATTATATTATTAACCATTAGCCGCCTGGCCAATGGCCGTTTGGCGGCTTCAAAAGTGCTGCTGCACTCCGGGTGCACGCCATTTGGCGTGCTCCCGCACATGCACAGTTTGCGCTAATACAGAGCGGAGCAGCAGCGCGATCTGTCACCGGCCGCGTGCCTCGGACACGGCCGATGACAGATCTGAGTACCGGCCCCGTTGCTGGTGCCATGTGACCTGCTGTGACCAATCACAGCAGGTCACATGACAGTTGTATACAATGGATGGCTTCATTCATGCCATCCATTGTATACTAGTGCCTAGCTGTGAATGGTCACAGCTAATCACATGCACATGTCATGTGATTAGCTGTGACCAAATCACAGCTAAGCACAAAAAAAAAAAAAGCTAAATGAATCGATTTCATTCAGGTAAATGCTTGCTTATAGCAAAGTAATTCTTTGCTATAAGCAAATTGTGTAAAAAAAAAAAAAAAAACTGATCACTTCCCCAAAGTAGTACAATGTTACTATGGTAACATTGTACTACTTTGGTCATAGTAAAATATGAAAAGAAAATCTTAAAAAAAATAAAAAAAATTAATAAAAAATTAAAAATAATAATAAAAAAAATATATATATATATATTTTTTTTTTCATACTGTCACCAGTCAGTGTCCCTGTTCACAGCCATGCCAGTTATAGGATGATGCTGTACTGCACTGGTGACAGTATGTAAAAAAAAAAAATAGTGAAAATAATTTTTTTTAATTTTTTCATTTTCCGAAAAATTATGACAAAAAAAATACAACTTCAAAAAACTCGCCATGCCTCTTATGAAGTACGTCGGACTGTCTACTCTGCAAAAAGGGGTCATTTGGGGGATATCTGTACTATTCTGACATTCTTGGACCTCAAGAAATTAGATTGGCTGTCAGTACTTCAGGATTGATCAATATTCAGATCTATACCATAGTTTGTGAACTCTATAACTTTCCTACAAACTAAATAATACATCCTAATTTGGGTTATTTTCACCAAAGACATGTAGCAGAATACATCTCGGCCTAAATTTATGAAGAACAATTATTTATTTGTAAACTTTTATAACAGAAACAAAGAAAAACGCACAATTGTCATTCAAAGTGTGAGAGCGCTGAAACGTGAAAAATGGCCTGGGCAGGAAGGTGTAAAATTGTATTGAAACGGTTAAACAGTATTTATATAGCGCTAAAAGGTTTGCTCAGCGCTGTACATTATAGTGAGGGACAGAACATGAGACAATACAGTACAAAACAAAACACGAGGGGTTCAAGGGCCCTGCTCTTTCGAGCTTACAATCTAGGAGGGAGGGGATAGTGGTACAGGAGGAAGTGGCTGTGGGGGATGGAGTGGTAGGAGGAGTGGAGGAGATCGGCTGTTAGGTGAGGGCGGGGTAGGCTTCCCTGAAGAGATGGATTTTCAGGGTGCACCTAAAGGGGAGGAGGGTAGGTGACAGTCTGATGGATTGGGGTAGTGAGTTCCAGAGGATGGGGGATGTCCTGGAGAAGTCCTGCAGTCGGGCATGGGAGGTGGAGACCAGGGATCTAGAAAGTAGGAGGTCTTGTGAGGAGCAAAGATTACAGGTAGGGTGCTCAAATGTTTTAATGTTCCCATTCTTCCTGTATATTATATATAATGAACCTCTTCATCTGCCCACAGAAGGATCAAATCTTGGCTGGTTCAGTAGGGACTGAAATTCGATTAATCTATTGGTAGGCTGGTTGAACTGAAGTCGATCCAATACAATCAGTCAGTAAGATTGTTTGCCTGTGATCACTGCCAGCGGCTATAGCAGCTAGCAGTGATCATTGTGTTTTGCTGTCAGGGAAGACATAGGGAAGAATAAATGCTTCTCTTGAGGTTAGAAGCCTAGTCCATTAGGTGTTGTTTAATAGCTGGTCTCCTGTAGAATAACCATGTAAACATGTTGCAGTTCTTTTCTAAGCAACAGAAACACTCTTAAAAGTACATACTCATTTTTGTTTGTCATTCTTCATGGCTGCAATTAAATTTTAATGAGGTATTCATATTATTGATAACTATATAACATTTTTATGGTCATATTTGATGTGTTTTCTTTTAGCTAGTGTTCAGAAGAATCATGTATCAGATGGAAAAGCTTTTGCTCAGTGAAAAACCTAGTGTCAAGTAGAATATTTCACAGCTCTGCCATTAGACTTGTGTTTAACTGGGAAGAGTAAATTTGGCAAAATACATTACATAATGGTTGGATGGGAAGTTATAGATCACATGCATGTATTTTATAATAACCATACATCTCTAACTGAAAAGGAACAACAGTAAAGATGGTATAAAGACTGATAAAAAAAAAAAACAACGGCAATAACATTCTCAAAAATAGCTTCTAAAATCTGATTTACATTTTATCCAATTTAACATTAATAAATAAAGTCCTAATCAGCAAACAATGCACAGATTTTTCATTTATCTTTATTAAACAATTGCTTTAAATAATCAAGGTCATCGATAGTAAAGGAATGTGACCCAGATAATTACATTTTGAAAAGAGGGTAATTGGAGTCAGGTATTTCAATCAATGAGTCAAGTGTTCCATTCAATTCAGGTGTAGGTTTGACCTCCCTTGCTGTATAAAAAAAAAAAAAAAATAAATCAAACATTTCTAGTTACCTGTGCTTCACAACAGAATTGTGTTGAAATGCTTTATGGTCATCAGAAGTGATTTTAGAGAACCTTAAAGGAGAAACTTATAGAAAAGGTCATGGAATGGCATGTTATACATTCTTAGAAGAGGTAGCAAAGAACCCTAGGGTGAATCCTAAAGATGTGTCATATGATCTGTGTTCATGAATCTACTATTTAAAAATAATCATTGACGAATGATGGTCTTGGAATTTTTTTCCAAAAGAAAATCACTGGTCTTCAAAAGCAAAGACGAATGATTTAAGGAATCCTTTAAACAAAATTAGCCAAGAGTAATCACTGATAACTGAGCCAGGTTATGATATAATGAGAATAATAAGACCATAATGAGACCTGGTTGAATGGTAGTGTGTTTGGAGAGGGCAGAAAAAGAAAACCAATTCAGAGGGGTTTGTCTATTTGTAAACTCTTCTTTCAGGTGTACTATCGATGAAGATACAGTAGATTTAACTAATAAGACATAGTGTTTATCCATGCAGAATACACTAAGTTGTACCAGAGAAAACTACAAAGGTGCAATGGAAAGATGTCACCCACCCCTTCGACTAGGTTTTAAATATAAACCGAATGCTCTCTTCACATCAATTCTATTATCCTTGTGGGAGATAACAATAAAACAGTAAAATCATCCAAACATCAATAGATATTACACTCGCTGGCCACTTTACTAGGTTCACCTGTTCACTTGCTTGGTAATACAAATTGCTAATCAGCCAATAAGATGGCAGCAATTCAATGCATATAGGCTTCTAGATGCAGTGAAGATGACTTCATGAAGTTCAAACCAGGCATCAGAATGTGCAAGAAAGAGGATTTAAGTGACTTTGAATGAGGCCTAGTTGTAGGTGCCAAATGGGTTGGTCTGATTATTTAAAAAACTGCTGATCTACTGGGATTTTCACACACAACCATCTCTAGGGTTTACAGAGAATGGTCTGAAAAAGAGAAAATATTCAGTGAGCAGCAGTTGTGTGGACAAAAATGCTTTGTTAATTTCAGAGGTTAGAGGAGAATGAGCAGACTGGTTTGAGATGATAGAAAGTCAGCAGTAACT